ATATACACACACACACACATACACACACATATGTGTGTGTGTGTAATTTTAATTTATATTTGAAAATATAGTTTAATATATTTTAAATTGTGTAGATGGACACAATACCTTTATTTTCTTTCTTTATTTTTTGATGTGGTGCTGAGGATTGAAACCAGGGTTTCACATGAGCTAGGTAAGCGCTCTACCACTGAGCCATAATCCTAACACAGCAGTATCCTTTCAATGCCAAAGTATCCAGGTTTAGGTAATAAACTGCATGATCATGCCATTTTGACTTCTGTTGAATATTGTAGCTAGGCCTAAGTTCAAGAGAGGAAACTTTTTGGGGAATGGGCTTTTTCTCACTTTTGGGTGTTTCATGGGAATTAAGGAAATTGAATTAAAACTACCTTTGATTAAGAACAGGGAGGCAGCACTGAGAAAGTGGTACATTCCCAGTTACATGGGGAAATTAGACATAAAACCTTCCATGTAGAGTTGGTATCAGGGATGACTGGCCTCCTGCCTCAGCTTGAAAATGCAGTTTCAGATACACATTTCATGAGGCTTACGTGTGCCTTCTATTTTGGTTTGTTTTATATTTACAAAATAGAAATAAATTTATTATTTTTATTTTAAATGATGTATGATCACTACTAATATCCAGAGACATGAAAATGAAAAGCACCTCTAACATTTTCATCTGGAGATAACTATTTTTAATATTCTGTTTTACTTTTTTCCCCAGATGTTTTCTAACCAGCCACATCATGCAGGTATATACATATACAAGATCATTTATGATATTTTCTTTCTTTCTAAATGACTTTAACAGGCTGAATAACATTACCCATATAACTTATTTTTTCCCCATAGTTTGGACATCTTTACATGATACCAATGTATACTAATTTTTTAATTATTGTATTGTATTTGATCATATGGCATAACATTTTATTTGGTCAATTCTGTATTGATTGATACTCAAGTCTCACTATAAATTTTTGGTATTATACATGATACTATATGTTTAATTTTGCTACTATATGCCATATTTTTCTATTAGACATAATGTGATGAACAAACAACTGCATTTGTGTGTGTGTGTGTGTGTGTGTGTGTGTGTGTGTGTGTCTTTGGGCAGTTGTCTGGATTATTCCCTTAGAATACATTTTTAGCATTGGAAGAAAATTAGCAAATTTAAAAAACTGTACTCAATTCTAAGTAATCTTTTGCCCTCTTACTACCCACAAAACAGATAAATTGCTAAATTTTAAATAAGCTTACAATCTGGTGAGTTTTCAAGCAACAATCCTATGAAATCTTGAAGAGAAATTGGTAATTATTTTATACTACTCTTACTTAGATCAACTTCTGGTCTCCTTGTATTAAAGAGGAGAAAGTGGATTATGATGTTCATCACATTGTAATGTAAACAAACAAAAAACAAAGTACATGTATAAAGGCATGAATTGGTGTGAACATACTTTATATACAAAGATATGAAAAATTGTGCTGTATATGTGTAATAAGAATTGTAATGCAATTCCACTGTCGTGTATTTAAAAAAATAAAATCAACTAAAAAATAAAACAAAATAAAATAAATTTTAAAAAGAAGAGAAAATGGAAGACTTGCAGTTTCCTTTTCTCTGTGCAGAAGGCGTCTGCTTCTGTGCTGTGCTAAAAGGTCCTGCGGGATCATGGGTTGTAGTTAGAAGTGTGGGTTATTGAGCTTCAACCACTAGTGCCCTGTTTATTTAACCTGTGGGGTGTTGACAGTTTCCAGAATGTCTTTTTTCCATCATAGCCTATTTTGCTGTAGCTAGGAAAACAAATGACTTGTTTTTCTAACCAGAGAACTTCTCTTCCCTTGTTTTAGGCTGAAGAAATGTCAACAATTGGGAGTTTTGAAGGATTCCAGCCGGTGTCTCTGAAGCAAGAGGGAGATGACCAGCCCTCTGAAGCTGATCACCTGTCCATGGAGGAGGGAGATCAAGACAAGACCCCTGTATGGAGGGAAATCTCAAGACAGTCAAGTGTGACTAAATCAACACTTTGCCCCAATCCTTATCACCAGCCTTATGTCTCACGGAAGTACTTCGTTACAAGGGTAAAAGCTCTTAAATACTATGTAAAATTGTTTTAAAAGATCTTAATGTCCTTCTGTGTGCCACAAGTCTTGCCAAGTGCTTGCACTATTTTTTATTCTCATGTAATAGTAGCAATGATCATGATGGAGATATCTTTTTATTCCCATTGTACATATGAAGGACCTAAACTTCAGAAAAGTTAAGTGTCTGTTCTTGACATCCCAGATAGTATCAAGGAGAAACAGTTGCTCTAGGATTTGGATCTTTGGTTCCTTAGTCTTGTGTTCATGCTAAATCTGGCTTCAGAAAACTAATGTTTTATGCAGAGTGAATCTATAATATAGCAGCTAGAATGTAAAGCTGGGAACCTGGTGTTTGTTTGGAAAAAGACATAGATTGTGAAATGGAAAAGGGTTTCGGGAATGGGCTGAATCTTCAGGATTGAAGCTGGGTACTGTTGCTCTGATGTGGGGGTATGCACTTTAAAATCTCAAGTCTGTAGCTGCAGTCTGGAGCTGAGCTGTCTCACCTGTGAAGTGCAGTACAGCTGGGGAGTAAATGGGTGAGGTTGAGGCTCTTTTAACTGGATGTAAAAAGGTGTCTTAAATTTATTGCATCTGGATCAGGTACTTCCTGAGTTTCTAGTACCTTCCCTCTTGAGCTTTTTTTTTAATCTTCTTTCTCAGTTCTTCAATGTTCTTGTCAATAACGGTAGTGGTTAGCTATTATCAATTAGGGGTAAAATTAGGGAATTGCACTGTGACCTCAGAGGTGTAATTTTCGTGTGCAAGGAATAATCGCTGGTTGAAAAAAATGTTTTTCAACTTAATATCATAAATATTTGGGGCCAAGAATTTGCAACTATTTACAAAGATTTCACTAATGAATTCTAATTTAGTATCCTTACAAATATATTTTTACGATACACTTTTAACTAAAGCAATTGAATGTGTGTGAGTTTGTGTGTGTGTATGGTGTGTGTGTGTGTGTGTGTGTGTGTGTCTGGTTGTGTGTGCTTAAACATTATGTAGATTCTTATGTGCAAGGTGCTTTGGTAGGTTCTATATTATGTGTGTGTTTATGTGTTTTTGCATATGTCAAACATATGGTCTGCTTTCCAAAATATGTGAACTTTATTGAATCTGCAAAGTTAAATTATGAGATAGAGCTGCAAAGGAAATCAAAGCATCCTCTAGAGGTTTATAATCTTTGATATTGATGAAGTCGGGGTTTGATGAAAAGGAGCAATGCAGTGATATAGAGTAAGGGATTTATCATTGGGAGCCAAGGCAATCGTGAAACCTGACTAAAACTCCATGTAGAGATGTTGTCTTTGCATCTGGTGATGGGCCTAATTTGGTATAGGTCAACCAGTAAGCAGTTGTAAAGAGGGAATAGGGAATAGTGAAGAGGGAAAAAATACATGGCAAAACTGAAACTTCTCAGGACAAAGTAAACCTTTGTCTATCTGCCATCATCTAACTTTGATGATATCCATCTTATGTATGTATGTATGTATGTATGTATGTATGTATGTATGTATTTATTTATAACCCAGGGCATGCCAGGAAAGTAATCTACTACCAAGCCACATTCCCAGCACTGGGATTCATTTTTAGTAGCTGGTAACTAATGCCACTGCACTGCTCACTTAGCCAACCCAGGGTTAGGAGAATCTCGGGGAGGAAATCAGACTAATATGGATATACTGGTACAGGTTCCACTCCTTATCATCAAGGGGACCAGGTAGTAGTTGCCTTGAACACAAGCTGCCCCAGTGTATAAATGACCTATACTGATTTTCAGCAAGGAAAATGACTGATATTTCATTTTTGCCTTTTGAATCTTGCACTGATGTCTCTTTCAGCCAACTCCACTTTGGAAATAAAGCAAACACAATTCTAGAAAATGTAGTTCCAGCTTAGCTAAATTGACACAATCCAAAGCCACTACATATGTTATTATATATTTCCATAATGCTTTTATTATTGTGTCTCTGTGTGACTTATTTAATAAATTCACATCTATTGTGTCTCTGTGTGACTTATTTAATAAATTCACATCCTTTATCTGTTTGGTTCCCTGCAGTGAAAATGTGTGGTAGGCAGGGGAGGGCTTACCATATTTTTCTTAAAAGTGAACATATTGAAATTTCAGAGGAGTGAATTGAACTCTGAAAGCCACACACTATTAATGGAAAATCTGCAGCTAGATTCTGAATCTGCCTACCCAGTCAAATGCACTGCTCTTCTTATCATGCACAATTGAATTTATGGCCCTTGTATAAGAGTTTTCAGTGAATCAGTCTAATCAGCGTGAAGAACATCTTCATCAGGTGTGTAGAAAACAACCCTAAGTTCTCAAAAGCTTATTCTCATTTTATTGGTGAGTCTATTGTGTATCTGAAAACTCTTTATTGGCCATGAGGGCAAAATTCCCAGTGCACTCAACATTTGCTCTCCTTCAGACTAAAAGGCATGAGTTCTTTCTAGCCTGTGAGCATAACCAATGTGTGTTAGCACATGTGAGGATAATGAAAGGACAACTGTTGATTCAACTGAAATTTATAATGACAGGCTTTTTAAAAAAAATAAATAAAGGATTAACTCAGTTTTACTAGCTTATAAACAACAGATCTCCTGATGTGGTGGTAGTTGAGAAAATGGAAAGGTGTGTGTGTGTGTATGAATTTCTTCATCTGAAAAGTGTGGATAAAAACCCCAGTCTTATGTCAGGTTTAAATAAGCTAATTCTATAAAAGTTCTCAGAGTATATGACACATTTATCAATATTTCATAAATTATTTCAAAATTGTTCTTATGGATGCCTTTTCTCGGTTAACATTCACATTTCTATATGTGGTTATAAGAATGGCATTGAGATGCCCAGGATGTCACAGGAATTCCAGGATGAGATAGAAATGGAGATGTTAGGGTCTATAGGAGTAAACAAGAGCCAGTTTATTTTCTGAAGAGATAATTAAATAAAACCAAGACTCATAAAGTTTCAAATCTATGAACCTCTTCAGAAAGTATCTCTCCTTAGAGCTGAAGTGAGATCTGAGATGCTGTCGTACAGGGCTTCTTAATCGCTACTGTGCAAACAAATTAGATTCTGCACTTCTACAAACCTTCTGGAAACACTGAAGGTTTTTGTCCACAGTCCACACTTTGTACCCCAAGGAGCTTGTCAATCCATTCAGTTGCAGAGGGAAATAAAGGCCAGAAAGGGGGAGCTGCTGACTGAATGTTATTAGTGAGCTTTGACTTGCCCATGAGGCTAGAAAGAGCAAAGCTGGGGCTAGAACCAGTTTCCAGCTGCCATTTCATAGTTCTGGAGCCAGTGCTTCAATGAAAAAAAAAATTATTACAGATCAAGAATTTGAGGGATAGATGTTGCAGATTCAGAAGAGCAGTGAGTGAATGAAAAGATTTCTTGGTCAGCATTTTATTTTACTAAAAGATTTAAAAATCATTGCACATAAAATGGTTTATCAATACAAAATTAGGAAATATGGATAAACAAAATAGAAGTCACCATAATCCCACTACTGAAAACTAACCAAACAGTATTGACTATTCACTTACACCTTTGGGTATATATCTTTTTAAACTTCTTACATATATAATTTTTATGTAAAGTGAGATTGTATGCTCAATATTATTTTCTATGTCAATAATATCCTTCTATACCATTTGTGTGTGTGTGTGTGAGAGGGAGAGAGAGAGAGTGAATGAGAATTAAATCCAGGGCTTTGCATATGCTAGGCATGTACTCTACCATTGAGTAACACCTCCAGCCTTGTAACATTATTTTTAACAGTTCTATAATATCCCCCTGTGGGGATATACTGAAATTTATTTAACATTTGTTGGATATTTAGGTTGTTTTTTATGTGTATAATTTAAACTAGGAAGGAAAGCCATTTCTTGGCTTTCTGTGGCAGGATAAACTAACTCAGGTACCAGATAGACCTGTCAGTGCTATAATAAAAAGAATCAATTAAATGAATTTCAAGTTGGCTTTGTAAAAGGATAACTGAAATGAAAATTCAGATTAATTCTTGGCCAACAAGAGGTAATGTTAACATCTTAATCTCAGTTATTAAATACAGGACTGAGTATCAGATCATGAAAGAAATCAGTCTGGTCCTTAAAACCTCATTGTTCTTTACTAATCAGTCAAAGGAGGTTATTTCCTTCCATCAGGCTTTCATACTATTATTTCCCCAATTGATGCCACTCTGACTTAGTTTAGGAGAATTCTGTTCAGTGGTAGAAGGTCTTAGAGAATGTCTAAAATACCCCATAAAGCACACAAAGGAGGTGTATCTTGTCCAACCAAGATCAGGCAGCAACCTAGAGACCATGAAGGACTGGGAAGTAGGTCCAGAATTCAGGACTCTTGACACTTTCCAACACACTGCACTACCTCTGACCTAGAAGAGTGAGTTAGAGGTCACAGAAGTGAAGGTCTAAACCCCTTGTCATCTATACGCTTGATAACTTTTTCTTCCAGTTTGAGCTCATCTGCTATTATTGCTTAGACATATCTAAATATAGACTAGTGCCTTCTCTGAACAAAAGTATCCCTCAAGGCTAATAACTTGAGGTACATTATGATAATCATCTTAGTTGTGGAGACTGTATTCAAAAGCAACTTCTTATGAAAGAAATAATACTTAATCCACATGGGGAAAGATATTTTTAAACTCCCTGTAGGACTCTATATTTGCAGATACCTTATCAGAAAGTTGAAAGCGATTTGGGATGGGGAATTATCTCTAAATTTGTACTTGAGAATGTAAATTACATACAAACTAATGGGACTAAAACTATTTGATCTTTTAATATTTAATTAATGGTTCCCCATGGCCTTTTTATAGCCTGTGTTCTATTGTGAGCAACGAGACTTTAATAAGCAGGTTCAGGACTTCCCATTGTGTAAAGAGATGTCATTGCTTCCATGACACTAATTTGGCTTTCATAGTCTCTCTCTTTCCCTCTTCGTTTGCTATAGG